CACACACCAGGCATTGACACACACTCCACATACCACACACCCTACATACATATACACACCACATACCACACATGTACTGCATACCACACTCACACAACATACTACACACATCACATACCACATACCACACTCACAACACACTCGATACACACCACACATGACACACACACATACCCATACCACACAAGCACCAAATACCACACATACCACATGTATATATACCACAGACGACATACATATACACACCACACACACCACACTCACCACATGACATGCATACATCACATACCACACTCACAACACACATGACACACACCACACGACACACAAACCCCACATACCACATACCCATACCACACAAGCACCACATACCACACACCAAATATATACACATCACACACATCACATACCACACTCACTGCACACACACCAGATACATACACACCACTACCACATGCCACACATAGCATATACCACATACACATGACACACATACCACATACCACACATGTACATTCATACACATCACACATACCATATACCACACATATACCACATACCACACACACATCACATACGACATACCACACATGACACACACCATATACCACATATGCATACCACATACAGCACATACATATACAACACACTTGCCACATACCACACACACCACTTTGCATATACACCACATATCACACATACAACACATACCACATATATACCACATACATACACACCACATGTAATACATACCACATATACACTGCATATCACACATGTACCATGTACCATACATGTACCACATTCCACACTCACGGCACACACACACCACACACACCATATACCACACTCGCACCACACACACCACATATATACGTACACCACATCCCACACTCATACCACACACAAATGGACACACAACATATACCACACACACACCACATACGTGCATACCACACATAACACATACCACACACACGCCACATACACATCACACACACTACATCCCACATACATATGACAAAGACACCACGTACCACACACCACATACACACACGACACACGTACCACACACCCCACATACCCCATGACACATGACACACACATACCACACAAAACACATATGTACACACCACATACAAGTGACATACAGCACACACTACACAAACACATATCACACACGACACACACCACACAATACATATACCACACATATGCACACACAGAACATACCACACACATGTACAACCATACCACATATCTCCCCACATGACACACAGCACACACAACACATACACCAAACACATACGCACACACACCACATATCCCCTATACATGACACTCACCACACACACCACACACATGCACACACCACACACAACATATCCCCTCCACGGCACACATATGACACACATACCACACACATAGCACACAAAAACACACACAACACATGCCACATACCTGTACACACTCCCCCATGACACATACCACATATATGCACGTGCACACACATGTGAGAACAAAAGGGACACAAGAGCCAGAAGCCCTGGAAATCAAAAACATTACTTCCTAGGACTCACTTGTTCCAGATATATATCCACGCTGCCTCCTGAGGTCGTGCTGACGGAGGCAACCACCAGGAATGGATGAACAGGGTGCCAATGGATGTGCGAAGGAGACCCGACAGAGTCCGGGGCTTCTATTCGGTGGTCAAAATAGAGAGCCATGATGAAACTCAGACCTAGTCAAGGTTGAAACCTGCAGGGAAGGAAAAGAGCCAAGTCCTGTTGCTTTTGAACAATGAGAAGAAATGACTACATAGAATTAGGAAAGAAAAGCATCACAAACCTATTATCATAACACAATGCAACTTACAAATACCCCTTAAGACCACGTGGGCAACTTTACGTGGAAGAGATCTCTAACAGGGAAAAAATATATAATTAGAAGCAAGAAATTGGACCTAGAATGAGGCAGGGTATGATGGAAAAGAAAACACTGCCATTAAATCATAAGAAAAAGCCCAGCCACCTAGACCACATGTGTAAATCTTGATCATTTTTATTCATCATAATGAAGACAATTTGTATTTCTATAGCTGCCCTTCAAGCAAAAATTTCCAACCAAATGGAAGCAAAACTCTGTTTCACAAAAATACATAAGAAAAGCTAGTATTCAATTGGTGATAAAGTGTGAAAACCAAGGCTGTCTTCTACATCTGGCTCTCAGGTAGTAGGAGGCAACAGGATTCCTTTGTTAGAGAATTAAGAAAACAAAACCCTGGTAACTGTGGGGTAGTTGAACTTGTTTAGTTTCCCAAATTTAACGTCTTTCTCTCCTGGAAAAGATGTGCTTATTGCCCCTTTGCGGGAGGGGTAGGATGACGAATGACAGGATGGTCACCACTGCCCACTTTTCATACTCCAGAGTCAGCTTAGGGACACTAACTGGCAGAGGAGAGTATTTGTAGGTTAGTTTGCCTTCATTCAAAATTATTCAACGTCATGCTCATTAGGATGGCTGTGATCAGAAAAAGAGAAAATAACTGTTGGCAAAGATGTGGAAAAACTGGAACACTTGTGCACTGCCAGTGGGAGTGTAAACTGGCACAGACGCCGTGCAAAACAGTATGGTGGTTCCTTAAAACTTAAACATAGAATTACCATCTGATTTAGCAACTCCAGTTCTGGGTATATCCCCAAAAGATTGAAAGCAGGGACTTGAACAGATCCTTGTACACCCATGTTCATAGCAGCACCATTCACAGTAGCCAAAAGGTGGAAACAACCCAAATGTCTATTGACAGATGAATGAATCAACACAATATGGTGCATACATAGGAAGAAGTATTATCCAGCCTTGAAATTCTGACATGTTACAACACGGATGAACGTAGAAGACATTATGCTCAGTGAAATAAGCCAGTCACAAAGGGACAAATACAGTGTGTTTCCACCTATAGGAGGGCCCTAGAATAGTCAAATTCAGAGACAGAAAGTGAAAGGGTGGGTACCAGGGCCTGTGGTGCTGGGGGACAGGAAGTTCATGTTTAATGAAGACAGGGTTTCTGTTTGGGAAGATGGAAAAGTACTGTTGAGGGATTGTGCGGATGATTATACAACATGTCAATGTGCTTAATGTCGCCGACTCGTTTACATGCAAATAATTAAAACGGTAAAATTTAAATTATGTATATTTAACTACAACAAAAAGATTGTGTAAAAAAATACTCAACACTGCAACGTTCTATCACTACCACTGGAGTGGGACATGGACTGTGCCATTTGCTTTCAGCAATGCAATAGCTATTATCAGAGGAAGCCTTGAAGGCTCAGTGTGGATCTAGAGAAGGAAATCCCATTCAGTGAGAAGCTAAAGGCACAGAGGTACCTTTTTCTTATGAATACATACCCTGAATACTAAACAAAGGCGCACTTTTTGAGGTGTTCTCACTGCCATGGGGGGGGGTACTGGAGTCAGGGGAAGCAGGATCCAGAGGCCTCCTATACACACACATCACCGAGGGGACATCTACACTGGTCAGGGCTCTGATTTCGGAGTACAGTACTGACACAAACTTTCATAAAGTCACTACAATTGAAAAAAAAAAAACCCAACACAGAAAAACCTGGGTGTTTATATATATAGCAAAGGAAAGCTTTCAAGTTGAGTTTTCATGTGTTGCAGCCAATCAAGGCTTGAAAGTTTTGGCTTATGGGAAATTTGTATTCATATTTTACAAGTTTACTTTGTGAAAATATTCCTCTGAAAAATAAGTAATGTTAATTTTGTTAGACTGATAGAAAAAGAGTTACAATAGCGCTTAACAAAGTTTTGCCTGGTTTTCTCTTTGTTTTTGTTTTTTAATCTCAAACATCATTTTGTAATAAGCATGTATACCAACAGATCTTTAAGTGACTTTTTCCTGCCTGGGGTTTTCTCAGAGGTTCTCTCCCCCACATTCCACCTGTGGATACTCAGGAAGCTCTCAGGAAGCCTCCCTTTGACCTCACATCTGGGCTTCTCTCCAGCATCCCCGTAGATCCCTGTACTTCGCTGCTGCATTTAGACTTCATCGCAAATGTGCGGTTGGTTGACTGTTCTCCACCGGCAGCCCACTCTCTGCCCCACAGGGTGAGAGGTCCCGGCAGCATCCCCAGACCGGAGAACAGGCCCCCTATATGTGAATACGTTGAAGATATTTATTAGCGAGGAGCCTGGGTGGCTCAGTCGTTAAGCGTCTGCCTTCGGCTCAGGTCATGATCCCGGGGTCCTGGAATCGAGCCCCGCATTGGGCTCCCTGCTCAGTGGGAAGCCTGCTTCTCCCTCTCCCTCTGCCTGCCGCTCTGCCTACTTGTGCTCTGTCTCTGTCAATTAAATGAATAAAATCTTAAAAAAAAAATAAGAAGAAGATATTTATTAGCAAGGAAAGATGCTCTTGATGTTTTGTTGTAAAAAGTTGCCAGGGCGGATGAGTCCATTTTTATACTGTGGATGGACTGTTCATCATTCCTTTTACCTGTAATTTAACGTTTTCCTACCACGAAAAAGTATCATCTGCATAATTATAGAACAAAAGCTACCAAGGCAAACACGAGGAGAGACAACTAGCAATACTATCCTTACCTAAAGACATCGATTAATGGCATTGGTTCAGAAACAAGTGCACTTTTTCTCTTTAAAACAAACTCTCGGCCTCTAGAACAAAACAAAAATATTTAGCAAATGTATAAACTTTGGGGAAAAGACAAAAATTCCGTTTGTTCTAAGCTATTTGCTCCAGTCCCCTCCGGCCGAGCCCCGTCTTCAGTGCTACCAGGGTCAGCTGAGGGGCTCGCGGCAGACATTCGGGATGCGGTATGAGGGGCTGAGGGGCGCAGGGCTGAGAGGAGGGGGGCGGCTGAGAGGAGCGGTGCGGGGGGGCCGGCGGAGACTAAGGGTGCGCCTGAGAGGTGGGGCGCAGGGGACGCTGAGAGGAGGGGCGGGGGGAGAGGCTGAGAGGAGGGCCGCGGGGAATGCTGAGAGGAGGGGCGCGGGCACTCTCGGCCCCCCCGCCGGGGCGCCCCCTCGGCTCCCGCCCCCCGCGGTGCAGGGTCACGGCAGCGGGACGGGGACGCGAGGGACCGCCGCTCCCTGAGCGGCTGCAGGGCCGACCGCTTTCTCCTCCCCTCCCCGCCGGCGCCTCCAGCCTCCCCTCCCGGGCCGCGCCGGGACCCGACGGCGCCCGCGGTGGCGGTCCTCGCGCGCTGACCTCGGACGCCGCGCCCAGCTCCCGCCGGCCCGGACCCGACCCGCTTGGCCAAGGCCCGATTTCCGGACGAAGATGACCCGGGAGGCCGCGGGACGGGAGTCCGGCCCGCTGCGCCGTCGCCCCGCTCCCCAGCCGGAGGCCGCTCGGGAGACTCTCCCTGGCCGCTCTCCGCCCTCGCCCTCCGACCCCACTCACCCCATCCGAGCCGTCGCGCTGCCGCGCGTTGCCCAGACAACGGCTGCGCGCGGTACGCGGAAAGAGCCGAAGGTGAGCGCGGCGGATGCCGAGGCCGCCCGAAGCGCCCCGAGCGGCCGGAAAGAGCCGAAGACGGTCGGGAGTGTTCGTAAGGCGCCGAGGGCAGGAGTCTCCTGACGGGTCCCCCGGGGCGGCAAGCTTCGCGGTCCTGCGGGGCATTTTCTCCCCGTCGCAGCCGCTGTCTAGAATCAAGAACGCCAGCTCGGAAAGGGGAGCTAGGAGGTCAGGATTCGCCTGTTCTTCGATAGAAGGGAAGCTGGTGACTTTCTTGCAGGTGTGATGAGAATGCAAAGCCTGTTGGGACCCGCTCCTGCAGTTACACCTTTCTAACCGTGTCGGTCAGCTGAGAATGTGGGCGAGAAACGGAACTGCCATCTTCGTTGAGATTCCCTCCTCTTTGGTTCATCTTCTTGCCGGGTCTTCTGGACCGCAGGCCGTTTGTTGGCCTCTGTTTTGTCTCATCTCAAGGAGGAGGGTGTGGTTCAAGAGTATTTTTGAGCAAAGCCACTGGATTCGACGGAACTTTTGAGGTGCAACGCTTTGGGGGGGGCGTATGGGTTCCTTTGGCAAGAAGATGGTAGGCAAGGGTACGTCCCGTTTCATCCCATCGGAAATCAGCCTGACTCGTTGGGATAGATTGCATTCCCAAAGGCATTAGCAACGGGTGCTTCAACTTCGAAATTAACTTGGAACAACAAAGCGACATCTTTTCACTAAAGGAAAAAAAAAGAGTTGCTACGGGTAAAAGGTCCACATTGTTAAAAAGTGTAAAAAGAGGGAAGTGCAGATACTACTGGATCCGACAGTTTAGGTGCTGGATCACATAGGTACAGGATAGATCCCGTTTTTAAAAACCTCATTTTCATGGACACTAGAATTTTTTATGGAAAAAATTTGACAGGTAGCATCGTGTAAGTTCAAGGTGTATTGAGAAGTACGTATGCTCATGTTGTAACATGGCTGATGTGGTGATGTCAGTCCTATCAGACTGATGTATTTACACGTAATTACAGTAAGGGATCATTGTCTGTGATCATCTCGCTGTGCATTGGGTCTCTATGGCTCCTGAGTCCTCCTTCCAGGCCTGGACCCTGGGACACCATCTCTCTTATCCTCCCCTTAGATCCCTATGGCTCATGAGTGCTCCTTCCAGGCCTGGACCCTGGGGCACCATCTTTCTTATCCTTTGCTTCTATAATACACACTAGAATTGAGAACACACTCCTTTATCGCCATGACGGAGAAATATGACCCGAGTGCCCAGCGGCATCCGCTACGCTCAGGAATTTCAAAAGCAAACTCTCAATCTAATAAAGGGCGCTTTTATCTGATTCAATTGAACTTTTACACTTTGTCGTTAAAAACTCGGTTCGCGCCTGATTCAAGACTGAGCTGAGGCAGCGTTTTCTTCTCACGCATCCGTCAACACGGCCCCGGCCAATCATAGCCTGGGCGCTTACTCCATTGGCTGTCGATCCACCAATCCGGAGAGACGTACTAGCCCGCACGACCGCGAGGCCGGCGTCACAACACCACCCGCGTCGCAGGCCCGCCCCGCGCCCCCGCCCAGCGTCCGTACGTGCAAGTGCGCGCGCCCGTTGCTGGCCAATGGCAGCGCCCCTAGGGGGGGCGCCCGCGCTGGAAACCTCGGGCGAGCTCGTCCCCGCGCGCGTCGCCCCGCCCCGCCCCGCCCCGCCCCGCGCGTCGTCTCCTCCGCCCGGCCGCCGTAGCCGGAACTGCTGCTGAGAGCGGTGAGCCGGGCCTCCGGGAGCTGAGAGGCGGCAGCGCCGGTGCCCGCATCCTCGTCCTCCGCTCGCCGGGCGCGGAGGGGACGTGCCGGGGCGAGCGCCGCTGGGCATCTGCTTCCGAGGCGGAAGGACCACACCGGCGTCGCGGCTTCTGTGCAGCGGGCGCTCGGGGGCCGGGGCTGCCCGGCCCGGCCGGTTCTGCGGGCGCCCGGGAGGCCCCCGGGGAGCCCGCGAAGCCAGGCCGCTGCGAGGCTTTGATGAAGAAGGTGACCGGGGGCTGTGGCTCGGGAGGGGTGGGCCGCCCCGACCGGCTGTCATGGCGAGGCCCGGCCCCCAGCCGGAGCGGGACTGCGGGAGAGGGGAAGCGGCCTGTGCCCTGGCGGCGGTGGTTACGCACGCGGTGCTTTGTCGGGGTGGCCCGGAGGAGTCCGGACCGAGCAGTGTCGCGGTGACACGCGGTGACAGTGTCGTGGTGCAGCCAGAATTCGACCCGAGACACGGAGGGTTTTGCTTTTTCCTTTCCGACACCTGACAAACGGTGTCGGGCGGGGATGTTGCTGGAGCTGATTCCACCTCTGTGCACGGTCAGGAAGTAGCGTTGGAGGTTTTCGGTAAAGGGATTCCATTCCCGTGGTTTCCTTTTCCTGTAGGGGAAAACTCTGATATGTGTCAATATCCTCTTGATTCTGAAAGGCCGTGACCTGTGTTCAGTTTAGTGTCTTCCAGTCTTCAGCCGGGCAGACGGGGGGCAAGTGTATTCTGCTTTGGCTGGTGTGTGCTCTGCCTGCCTCCTGGCTTGACTGTGGGTAGTTTGGGGATAATAGGTCCCTGGGAGTAGGGTTCTCCACCTTATAACCCGGAGAGAGGCCCTTTAAGGTATTTCCAGGTTTCTTAAGTAGGAATGGAAAGGTTGAGAAACGAACAGCAAGAAGTCTTATGCGATGAAGTCCTTTAAAAAGTTTGGCTATTCGTCCTGTAAAGTTTTATTTTGGGGCAGGTTCTTGTTTTTTTTGTTTTGTTTTGTTTTTGACCATTTCTGACAAATGAAAAATGTTACAGGTCATTTTGTGACAGAATACATCAGAGCAGTAGTAGGTGTTACTTTGATTTTTACTCATTTGCAAATCTTTCAGTGAGAGATCCTTGCCCCTATTTCTGTATTTCATCGTTAGCCTCGATGTCTTGCTCACTTTTCCCTTTTGAATGGAAATGTTTCCATTCTGAGCGGTTGTGTTGGGACGTCAAGCACAGTTTGGGCACAGTTTCAACACCTGTTGAGGAATCTAATATTTATCTTTCTTGCTTTATCACAGGTACACATTACTGACCCTTTGGGGGCTTATAGGTTGATACTACCTGATTCTCTGAGTTAATTTTTGAGTGGGTCTGCATTCTGGGATGCATTTTTATAGAGTCATCGAGTGTTGTTGATCATTTCACACAGCAGTGGGTAACAAAGTGAATGCAAGAATTTCATTAACGGTTATCAAGAGTTTTTGCACAGCCCTCTTCTGCCCATTCTTGCATTTGGATCTGGACCTGTCTGTGGTGTCGCTTTCACGGGTGGCTCCCACCTGTTCCACGCCACAGGCTCCTTTGTTGCAAAAGCATTTTTAATTTGTAAATCTCCACAGCAGCACACACCTCCCACCCTGGGAAGCAAGATTCCCAGAAACCCCGAGCTTATTACTCTTTATGTGTGTTTTTAAAATAAGCAGGCGGACCGGCAGCCGCGGGCCACCATGGAGTCCCCTGTGCACGCAGGCGAGCTCGCGCCTCTCCCCTGGCGGGGTGGATCCGGGCCCCTCGCCCTCGTTCCGGGGCCAACTTTGGGGACCGGCGTGCGGGGCAGGTGCGCGGGCCCGGAGCCCCGCGCGTTTTGGGGGCGGGGAGGGGTGGGGTCGGGGGCGCGGGCGCCGAGGCCCGGGCGGCGCGGGGAGAGGCCCGGCGCGCAGGCCATGAGCCGCGGCCCCGCCGGGTAGGTGGCTCCGGGCCCGGCCCCGAGCACCCCCCGGGACCATCCCCCGCCGTCCCCCGGGGATCCCCCTTCCTTCTCCCGGTCGTCCCCGGTCCCTCCACCCCCACCCTACCCCCTACCCTCCACTCCCAAGACCCCGCCGGCCGGGGCGC